TCCTATCCCGCAGAGGTGTTAAGCACCATATCTGCTTCTTATGCTCCTTGGCAGAATGGGAGTGCTGAAGCTGCGGTTGGTCCCTCAAACGCACTTGCGCCGTTATCGTGATGTCTATAATGCTACCGGTAAATGGGAGGATCTCATGGCTAAGGCGATGCGCCGAGCGAATGCCAAACCGGGGCTGACAGGCAAAAGCAGTTTTGAGATCTTTTTCGGTCGTGCCCGTCGTGAAGAAGAAGAGCTGCGCCTTGCTCCGGGTGGGGCCACTCAAGCGCTTAATCCGCCGAGCCGTGATGAGAAACCACCTGTCCTCGACGACATTGAGAAGGAGAGAGAAGCGTTGAAGGACGACCTCATCCAGGCCAAGGAAGAGCGGCCTTTGGTCACCACTTTGAGACCAAGGAGAAAAGCGCAAATGCCTAAGATCGGGGATCGCGTACTAGTCTTCCGACCCGATCCTTTCGGTGGCGCCGGTCATGGGCAGGGGAAGTATAGCCGTGACTGGTATAGAGTTGTTAACATTGATCTACCTTCTCTGCGGGTGGAGGTGCGAAAATCCGATACTGCGGAGAGCACCTCGTGGGAGAGCCTACGCAATATTCGTCCCTTTTACGGTTAGTGTGCTCAAGCTGCAGATCGACCTTGAGCAGGGGGTGGGATGACTGGGTACGACTATATCTCATCTTATGTTAGTCGGTATTTCGTCTATTGTCTATCGTATAGTCAATCTTCTTTACCAGAGTGTTGAGGGATACCCCATTTGTGCATGCGTGCTCATTTGTACAGACGTGCTAGGCCCGTGTGTAGGCGTGCTACGGGGAATCTCGGTATAACTCATTAAATCCTTTTTCCAATATGTCCGATCATGAGTCGAGCATGCAGTCAGAGGAGGCACCCGGGAGCGAGTCCCAAACACAGTGTTCCTCCCGGCGAGAGGGGCAATAGAAACGTCAAAGTCGGGCTCACAGTCCACCTCAATGCCGAGCATGCCTTTGGCCTTCAGCAGATAGTCCTTCATCTGCCTGGGACTCGCTTCGCACTTCGAATCCACAATCTGGACTCCTAGGGCCGACAGGTCGCGGACCAGACCGTCCTGTGCAAGGCATCGTTCACACCGACTGTCACCTTCGCTGAGGAAGCGTGTCCTCCCATCAGCGGCAGCGACGGCTTGCGCCATCATCTTCGGTACATGACGAACATCTAGAGGGACTCCACGATGAGATATCATAACAAGCGTGTGATTCGTCGTGCTCTCACCGGAGGATAGGAGATACAAAAAGAATAATAGGGATTCCAGGAACATAGCAACCATACTTTGTGGTAAAAAAACTAAGAACAGAGTATAAGAGTGCCGTCAAGTCGTGCTGACGAATTTGTCAAAAGTATCAGGTGAGCCAAGCAGGAGTGTGCGCATACGTGCAACTATGCACGCATACTATGCGTCGCATAGTCATATGCAGTGGTCAGAATCTGCAGACAAACATTCCATAATGAGTCATCGTTATTGGGCTCAATTTGGGCCACTCGAACGTCTTCTGAACTTACAGTACGGACAGCAACCGTCGATTGCCCTGCGAAATTCCCAGTGAGAATAACGCTGATTGAGATTCCGCAATCTAGTCAGTAAGAGCAAAAAGGTCCTTTCACGAAGTGACTGAGATGTGCACGCGTGCCGGTGACACCGAACCGTGGGAGGAGGATCTGTCCGCTCTTGTGGGCCAGTCTGTTAGCTGTATTATATCGATTGTTCGTTATATGTAGATCGACTCCGTTCGGCCATCGTCAGTCGAACTGACGAACTGGCCCAGTTCGACTGTGCAGTCCTGCCTGTGCCAAGATATGCCCTCATGAGATCAATTTTGTCAGCGCGCTGTCGCGTACGGAGGTACCACTACGACAATCTAGGCAGCCGCCTCCAACGGTGGTCGTGTCTGTGTTTCTGTCGGTGATCGAGTCTGTCTTGACTTCTTTTTTTCTTTCCTTATAGTTGGTCTTTCCGTGTACGGTTTGTGGCAGGTTGGTACCGCACAAGGTTTGTGCGGAATCTTGTTCATTGTCATTGATAGCGTTTAACGTGAAGTACGCGAATTGATCGATATGGTTGAAGCAGAAGGACTCCGGATTGAGGGAGACTTCTGGGGTTTTTTCTTTCGGTAGCATCAGGATATGTTTGAACCTCCATAGCGTGTTGTAAACATCTTCTGATGACTAACTCATCAGCCAGCGCCGATGTCAGTGTTGGGTTTTTCACCAGTGGTGATTGGCTTGATCAAGAAGACGCTACAGCGCTCGATAGGAAAATCGATTTCGAGACATGTCACTACCACAATCAATTTCGCCAGCACGTCTGAAGTACGGAGAGTTTCTAGACGGAAGAGTCGAAGACTCAGTCTTCCGGGAAGACGGAGATCAATTCCGCTGTTAGTATAGTCAATTTCGCTCGAGAGCAGACTTTCGATCCCAGGACTACACCGCGACGTATCTTACCAGGAAAAACTTTCAACTTGCATTCGGGGACTGTGGGTGCCAGCAGTTCACATTGTCAACTTGACAACTGTGTGCCATGGTATGGTATGACTACAGTATCATGCAAGCATGAAGCAGGATTTGTGCACCACTGGGCATGTCAACTATATAATATAGACTATATTAAGAACAAACGGATCAACACAAGGTTAATTAACTACTCAGTCTTGTACTTGCGTGCTACAGCTGATGTAAAGTGCTGGAGAATCACAAGTGAACAATTGTAGCTAATCGCTAACATGGACTTTACCGCACCACTTGGAAATATACTGAATAACAGACTAAGAATTCAGGAACAGTTCACATTTCGACACCCGAGAGATTAGTAATTCATCACTTAGATCAAAGTTCTAAGAAATATAAAAGTGCTGTATCACAATATGGCCATGGCGATGTTCTCTCTTCAGCACAGTGCTCAATCGTTACATATTCTACACTTGCAGCACGGGCCTCAGAGGGCATTCTGAGGAGAAGACTTACTGGTGCTACATGTGTATCTTTTGGCATTGGAGTCCAATGATTGGACATTCTGTTGAAGTCGACGGCCAATCTGAGGTTGATATCTGTTCCACTGCTGGTGATCGGCTTGTTTCTAGGTTCTGAATCACGACATAACACAACCTACCAAACGAGTGGTATACAGTGGCATCCACTCAATTGGCCACCACTATCCGAAAGTTGACCGATTGACTTCCCAGGTCCAACAAATAGAGAATTTTCACACTTGACTTGTAATGGAATCTTACGCAGTCATCATACCTATATGGTATACTGGAACAATAGCTAGTTGGGCGCAGCTGGTTGCTGTAGGTCGTTGCTCCAGCTCTAAGCGCCCCTCATGGTTACTCCCACAACACTACTTTTTTCAACCGCTCATACCAAGATCCTTCCAATCTTGAACCACGGAGCGTGGTTCACGGTGGTTCAACCACCACTTTAATTCATATTTATCCCGAAGCCTACAACAAGCTCAGAACGCACTACCTCAGTGAAACTCCTTCCATGAGCTTAGCCGTAAAGCATTTCCCTGGTAGTTTCATCATTCTAGAGGCGTAATATACACACAAAAACACATAACCCTAAAACCACGCTGGCATCCAAGCCCTGGTCCGAGAACATCGAGCGTTAGAGCACCCAAGGCCGACGTAATCTAAGCATGGAGTGGTACCAAGGTATAATCAGCACCAGAATACCAACGAAAATGTATAGAGTTTGATCTGATGCGGCATTGCCCTCTCGGGAATTCAAGGTACCTTGGTGATGAGACATCCTAACGGTAGTATCCTAGTAAAACAACACAGCGCTGAAAGAGGTACGTAGAGGCTTATTCATCAAGAATTCGGTCTCTCCCTCAACCAGAAGTTGCGCTGTCTGACCAACCAATAGCTGTCGCGCCATTCTTCGCTTTCAGACACCGACACAAATCATCCCCTCAA